CGATTTTGTTTTGGTATACTAATAATGTATTATACTCTAATTGTACCAGTCAACCTATTATTAGAAACAACTGTTATAACATGTAAACTTGATTTATAGTACGGATGGTTAAAAATTTGTTTTTAAGATCATTTGAACTAAAGATTAATCCGTAAGTAGAACTTTAAAAGTCTGACCAACTCTTTTATTTTATTGCTTGAGCATCATCGATATGAATCAAAGAACTTGGTTGAATTGCAGAGTTAATAAGCACAACACAAAATGATCTTTGGTTTATAGGTAAGTGGTTTACAATAACCAGTTACTTAGTAAAAGTTCTATAGTACTCAATTTATGAAATATATCATCATCTCATAGTATTTCTATCAACTTATAAACTCTTGTTTGCAGGAGCAGAATAATAAGCTATAACCTACCATAGGAATCCGAGGGTAGCAGATTGAAGTGTATAAGTAAAAATGTGGAACAATGTTCAGAGAACTCAAAAGGTATAAATTGTGCCAAAATATTGGTCTCTTTAATTAAATAATTTATAAGACTTAACTATGAATTGATGATATAACTGTTTTATATCCTATTTATCAACTATATGTTCTAAAATTTGTTTTTTTTATTCTTTTATTATTCTTTTCATTGATTACTTGTACACAACACACAAAAAAAAAAAAACCAAACTATTATAATTTATCTTACAGCAAAATGTATAATGTTCTGACATATTTATGTAATTGTGCGAGGATGATGCCACTAAACATGATGGCTACAATAATTGAACGCACAACACAGAAGGTTAATATACAGAAGGTAAAACAGATAAATCTCGAAAATAAAATGAATAGGTAAATCTTATATTAATGTATTAGAACATTTTTCTTTGGTTTCGTATTTTTCAATAATTTGCCGTTGAATTACTTGCAAGAAGAAAACCAATGGAAAAAATCACCAAATATTGCTCAACTATATACGATTTATTGGATGAAAACTATATATTCTTTAAAAAATCGAAAAAAAATCTGAAGTTTATTAATCGAAAGCATTTATAAAATACGAAGTTAAATGAGATAAGGAATATATATATATAGGTTATATGCTCACAATAGTTTGTTTGTAAAAGATAAAAACCGAATATGGGATAAGTGAATATTAGTTAACATACGATATGACATATATTTATAGGAAAGATGCTCACAATAGTTAATTTGAAAAAAAAAAAAAAAACGAATCTTGTTAATTTACTATGAAAGATATATTATAGTTTTTAGGATTTGGAAAAAAAATGAATCGTATGAGTTGCATATTACTTCTCTACTTTTAATTTTGTAATAAATTCGAAGGTATTTAAATATAAAATATATATGGTCAAAGGTGAGTTTATATATAATCTATTAAAAAAAGATTTAACATTCTAAAAACACACGTAAAAATCTTAAAAGGGGAAATCAACTTTATTAATAAGCCAATTGAAATCTTGAAAACTATATGTTTTCTAGAGACTCAGCCAAGATGCAATATAAATTTGCAATTATTTATTCCAAAAAACAAACTAACCAAACCATCATAAAAAAAATCATCCAAGCAAAATAAACATAATAAAATTGTCTTGTAATTAAAAAACCGAACATTTAATTATTATTTTCTCCATCAGTACAGTAAGTTCCCATAGTCATCAACTTTCGCCTTGCCCTTCTTGCTCGTCACGAATTCAGCTTGTCCACCCTCGTGGTCAATTGAAAACTCATCCATCAAATTGTATTGTATTGGACGTATCACTAACTTGCTCAACAGCACGAACAACCTTAAGTGGTGAAATAACTTCCTCTTCATCATCAACCTACTCCAAATAGAGTCGAGTATAAACACGAAACAAAATAAACTGAACTTCTAAGTACATATATTTATTATTTAATTTTAAGTATTCATACTAACCTTAGTAGCTTTCTCTCTTTTTAAAAGTGTAAAAAAAATCGGAGTCCTGTAAAAAAAACTTCATCACTAATTTTTAAAGCACGCATTGTATAGTAAAGAAATACTATTAAATTATTAAATATAATTATATAAACTTACATCATTCTCTACAACCCAATGGTTGTACTTGGAAACCAAATATGCATCAAGAATAACCCTCAAAACGGAGAAAGTAGATGAATAGCCCTTTTTCATTATTATTTGCTTTGATTCGAACCTTGAAAAGAAAGGTTCTCCCAACTAAGTCCTCTAGATCATCGGGCAGCTCAAAAACAACCTTATTCTACAAAAAAAAAAATTAAAAAAAAAATAATATGTGTGCACCCTACAATAAAAATATATACAATTCACTAAAATAATTTATATGATTATGTATGTTTCATAAAACGTACAATTGTAATGCCTACATTTTCATCATAAAGTAGGATCTGACAATTGTTCTTGCACTGCAGCTCGAAATGCGTTTCAGAAATATTGACCACTCTTAATGTCAAATACGGTTGGGTGGCCATATTAACGTCCCCAAGTGCACCACATAAAATTGCCATTTGTGTTTTTTTTTCTCTGTATCTCGAAATATGTGTTTTTTTCTCTTGTATCTCCAAATATCTATATATGTATTTTTTTCTGTGCACTTTGGAGGAGATGATAAACAAATGTATCGAAATATATAGGATTTTACTAATTCTTGCGTTAGCCTATTTATATAGATAGGATTCTATTAATTTTTGGGTCATTTTTTTTTTATTAAGGTATCTAGAAATATTTGGCAAAAAAATCTCACCATATTTTTAATGATAAATAAGTCAGTGACGGGCATATAGGTAGCGGGCATATAGGCAGAAACAATGAATAAAATCTTCAAAAAAATTTGAATTCAACTGGGCGGGCATATGAAAATTTTTGAACAAAAAATTTCTCTTTATAGTAAACATATAGGCGGGATTTTAAATGTTTTTTTCTTGATTTTTTTTT